CGCGCCTTTCTCCACTCGTTTTCGCAACGACAATAAAATCCGATTCTTTCGCTGTAAATTATTCTCATCGACGCTCTTGCGCTCGCCCATGATTGTCGATGAACGCGCACGCGCGCGCGCGCAGAAGGCCGTCTATTATACGCATCACTCTGCACAATGTTTGACTCGATCGGATTGAGCGCCAGAGTCCGCTCGGAATAGCAGCGGTCCCCTTGGATAAATTCAGCTTTGCAAGTGGCTGAATACATTGCACTGCTAATTTTCAAGGACAACGTTCTTATCTTCGTAATAAACTCGCGACGGCGACGAGACAGTCGGCTGGATATAAATCAGCACGGCCTATAAAGCACAAGAGCGGGACAAGAAGGTGCTTTGAGTCGACGTATCGTTCACCATTACAGTTGTCCCGCTGCCTCTGAGCGTAATTACGCGTACGCGTGCGCGCGCTGCAGCAGCAGCAGCGGCAGCAGCGACACGACCCACATCCTTCGCTGAAGATTGTTTTGGCGAATCTTTGCCGTCGGGCTCGCGCCTTATACGGAACAGCGAGGCACACTTTTTTGCGCGCCGTGACTTTCACGATTAAACGGCTTTGTGGATTTCGCGCGACTTGTGCATTTCTCAACAATCGATCAAGGCTATTTTTTATAGATTGATTTGCGTGCCGAGAAAGAGGTCGCCGTTGAATTTGTACTTTTACAGCAAGGAGTGCGAGCTTGGCGCGACCTCGCGTAGATTATGCAAACCATTGCATTATGTAAAATCGCTTCAAGTCTGGTTGACGAGCGAGTGTAAAGTACTTTTTTACAACTCTCTTTCCATTTCCACGTCCAAGATTTTCTCTGGATTTCTGCACAGGAAGGCCTGTCGAGGTGTTTTAATTCGCAATGCTCGATAAAGCAATAGACCAAATGGCGCTCGTCGTGTGCTGATATGAAACAACGGCATTCGCGCAATGAACAAATTATCAAGCTTTCGTTTCAGCAGCTTTCGCTCAATCGTCGAGCTTAAAATCAAACTGTCTAAGTGTGCCGGTGGCGCCATTCGACCGGGTCTATTGTCAGCAGAATGAAGCCAAAACATTTCGCTATACAACGGAAATTAACACTTGGATAAACAGAACAGTCTGTCGGCGGGGCCGAGCGAAATTTAATTTTTCGAGGCTGAGTGCGTTCCACTCGTTGGCATACTTCCGGAAGGCAGGCCGAAAGTTCCGCGAAGTTGACGACAGGCGATACCGGAAATTTTACTACGTTGATTCATCGTTGCAAAAGATTAAAAGAGAGAGAGAGAGAGAGAGAGAGAGAGAGAGAGAGAGAGAGAGAGAGAGAGAGAGAGAGAGAGAGAGAGAGAGACAAACGAGGAGTCAAACGTGGTATGGACGTTTGTGAATATGTCGAAATGCGACATGGCGCGTTGAAAAGAATCATTATCTTTCGTCGGCGTACGCGACGACGGAGTAATTGTGATTTATTAGAATTGTTGTAACCGTCTTTCTCTTTCTCTCTCTCCCTCTCTCTCTCTCACTCTCGTCGTCATGGTTAATGAACGCTGCTCTCGTTTTCAATTTAAAATTTCGGTCAACTGGCTGTTTTTTTCGTTTATTTTAAGTACGCACATAAAATTTTACGCTCTGTTAAATTGACGGCAACGGAATATCTTTATACGTTTGAATAGCGTACATGCCAACGACGAGAAATAGATTACGCGCGTTTTTTTTTGTCTTTTTTTTTGCGGCTCTAATCCAAAATACAGAATGGCCCACTGTCGGTAAACTTATTTAATAAAAATGCGGGACTACTTTGAAACGGCCTCCGTAGGCATTAAAAAAGTTTAACAAAACTATCTAGGCGCCGCTGTTGCGCGCGATATTTGTTGTTTTTTTTTTGCATTAGGGCGGCACTGTCGACTAACTTATCCTTTTATGCAATCTACTCGTTCTTCTGCGCACAAAAGTTTTGCAATTACTATTTTGCGTTTAGTCGTATTCCTCATGAGTTTACATAATGAATTAATTTAGCCATCTAATTAGACTTGGCTTTCGCTTCGATTAGCTCCCGTATACCGTGGAATTACCAATGTTAAACAAACTGAAATTTTTCGAAAGAAAGAAAGAAAAATATGCGCGATCTCGTCTTGTCCGTCTCTTATTTGCCGTGCTCCGAGAAACTCTTGCCTCGCAGGCAACAGTCGGAGCTGAGCACCTACAGGTGCTCTGTGATTTATTTGTCCAAGGTGGATCGCCTTACGAAGCTACTTTGAAGATTTGGCACAAGCTCTGCAGGAGGTTGCCGAGGCAAGTGGAACGCCCGAGTTTCCACGGCGAGTTCACTGTCCCGGAAAAGCCGCACGAGCGGCGTGTCATCGAAAAATAACGTGTCCGCGTGCGTACGGCAGAGAAGCGAACCGGGCGAATAATGCGGATTCCCGCGTCGCGCCGCCACGTAGTTCCGCTCGTACCTGCGGCCTGACTCATAATTCTCGCTGCTCTTTGTGTCCGCGGTGCCACGCTCGCAATCAGACGTCATGGAGTGTGCGACTGCAGTTAAACACGCGAGAATTCCCTGTCCCGCGCTCTTTGATCCTTTGACTGCCGGTCTGCGTAGATTATAAAGACGCGCCGAATGGAGGTAGGAGCGCTAATGGAAACTCGGCGTGATTGTAGCAGCGTCTCGCCCCCGCTCGCTCTCTTTCCAATGCTGTCTGGCTAATTGGCAGTTTTATTAGTCGACTCCCGTACACTTGACGTACAGCATGCTCGGCCGTAAGGCAAGCAAAGGCCGAACGAAGAAAAACCGTAAATTTCGAGGGGTGCAGGTCGTATTTTGACCGCCCGCCCGCGTAAGCTTATCCAGCGACAAGACGAAAAGCTATTTCTCGAGAAGGAGAGAGAATCTTCGGCGACTATCGCGCGGAGATGCAATCTGGCGCGACTGTTTGTAGCCTCATCCCAAAAAGCCCTTAAATTTCATCGACGGCTTTTGTCGGCGTTGAAGAGGCGCCGCGCGATACGTCGTCCAAGTACCTCTTCACGGCGCGCATTTCGCCACTCATCTTTTTTGTTTCGATAATGTAGCTTTCCTTGCGTGCAGCCGTAGCCAGCGTAAATTTTCTCGTTCCTTTTGTCCCTCTCCCAACGTATAGCTTTTCGTTTCTCGAACGGTCCGTCTGTCTGTTTTTTCTGGCCACTGCCCAGGTGGGCCGCTCCTTGACTATTAGTTTTTCGGGGGGGGGGGGGGGGCAGCCCTTTCGCTCTTCGGTTTCTCCTTCTCTCGAATGAATCCTCTCGGCTGACTGTATATCCACCGTCTGCTCCGACTGACTTTCAGATCGAGAGATCATCTTGGCAGTAAATCATTTCACGGATTATTACCTAATGGGCGTTATTTCGTCGGTAATTTATGATGAACTTGCATGAAATTCTCGTAGAAAAATATGATTACCGTCCGTAAAAAGAGAAATGATTTGCCCAACAATCGTCTACTCGGAACAATTGAAAAGCCAAAGTCCATTGGTGGAAGAAAAGAAAGAAAAATGATCGCAGCCACAGAGACAAACAATAGAATTCAGTGGTGACTGATGATGATCGGCAAAGAGCGTCTTTTACGAACCAATCCATCGATTTCCGCAGTATCAAACTTGAAATCCGCAGTGTCGGTGGTATGGCAATCGACAAAGCGACTACGAGCATTTGTCAGCTCCCCGGGGACATGCACTTTGGAGCCCGAACGAACGCCGTGTCTATTTTGACGTAAAATGGTCAATTTCACGCCGGTGTCGCTCGAGGATTTTTCTTTAAAAGGTTGGGAGGACCTACAGCGCAGTTTTCAGCCGGAGCGAGAGAAACTCTCAAACCAGCGACGTCGAGAACTATGCTTCGACAACTTGAAATTCAAGATTCGAGAGGATAAGTATCCTCTTCCGATAGACTTTTCTTTTCATCCACGTCGGCTCCGTTTTGTCTTACTGATGATCCTACGATCGTTAGGTAAAATTTATCGTTCGCACATTTTTCCTCTCTTATGTAGAAAAAATCACATTGAGGGGGGGGGGGGGGGGGGGTGAGTAGTAGCAGAGGCGCCGAATCCGGATGTATCGGTGCTAAGAACTGCATTCACGTTCGCGACGTGAATCCGATAAAACTCTTATCGACGAGGAGTAATCACTGCAGTACGCGTATACGACCCACACTTTTTATCTCCGGACATCGAATTTAAGGAGAACAAGAGGTGGCGGTATTCTCTCGTGTTTTCCCAGTGTTTCTGTAATACGGTCTTATCGTGCACACGAATCACTGCTTTATCAATGAGTTTTAAAGAAGTGCAAGATGAAAATATTCGATAGTATAGACGATGTTTTTCTTTCTTTTTTATTGTTAATGTGACGATGTTAACAGCAGACGTGCTATTGTCGATTACACTTTGGAGTACAAAATGTAATTGCGCTAGTTTTTAATTATCTCGTCTGATTGAGGAACCGTCACTCTATATACGCAATGGACGTTACAATCAAAAGATGTAAAATAGGGTTTAATGCACATTATCAACAGTCTTCAATGAAAATGTTCACACGTTGATGCTGCTATTAACGTTTATCAAGACAACGCAGTCAATTCAAAGATAATTAAAAATTTCCAATAAATTATTAATGGATAACTGGTGCACCACTTATAGTTTATCATCAATTTTCAAATTCACAAGAGAGGGAATGAAATCTTTTACGTATCACTTTTGAAATATATGGTATACGTGCCATTGACATTTTTTATCATCTGCACAAAAAGAACATAAAAAACAGACGCGATAACTTTGCCAGTGACATAATAACGCAGTGTCTCTTGTGAAATTTCGAAAAGATTTAAAAATTGCCAACGGAAAGGAGTAAAACCTTCAATCAGCTGTAGATGGAGAAAGAAAGCAAAAAGAAAAAAATAACGGAGTGGCGATTTTATGTGTGTATGTATGTATGTGTGTGTCTCTGTGTGTATACAAGTGAATCACCTTGGATACGAGGAGGAGGTGCATGGGGTTTGGCGTCATGTACGAACAGCGCCAGCGGCAGCAAGAGGACCAGCCAGCAGCGGTGCATCCTCACGGCCATCAGTCGCGCATTGTTTTAATCAAGATAAAAAAATTAACAACACCGCACTCGCGTATCACCCGTCTTCTTTTTAATTGGAGGTTAGTACACTTCTAGAACGAAAAACTCTTGTAGTCGCGCTTACTTTTTTTGTTGTCACTAGAACCGTTTTGTTGGTTATACAAAACTGCCTTTTTTGTGTGCACACGCGCGCTATGTGCGTCGAGAGCGAGCGACAACCGCATGCACTACGCTCTACGTCCCGTGCCAGACTGATTCCCTGTCTCACTTGAAATTTCAAGCGAAGCGTAAAGAACCGGCGGCGCGCCACTTGCTGGTCGCCACTACTCTACATCTATAAACGGGAATACGAAGTCGCATTTGTGTGAGTCGTAGTAGGTTTGTTCGGTGAGCTTACTGTTTACTGACCGTTCGCGACAGTCACGAAAAATGGCGCGCTTTTGGCTTTACAACCAAATTGTGAATCATTAATTTTCGTCAAGGAGAAAATGGACGGCAAGATAAGTCGCTTGTGAGTCACTGCAGCACTCTGTTTATGTACTTGTGACGGAAACTGATAATTTTTTTCTGACATCCTTGATTTGCAATAAACAGATTGGTAAATAGTCAGAAAATTTTGGGAATAAGACGTGTCAGTGTAGAGTCACGAATTTTCATGTCTATATTGTTTATCAATTGATGAATAACACCGTCGTATTTTTTCCTCCAAAGATATTATAATAAATATCGTGTGTTATCGAGAACGAAGTTGCTGTTATGGCAACTGACACATTAGTCACAAAATGATAATCTTTTCATATCCGCGCAAGAGTCGTTTGCTTTCATTGCTGCCGTGAATCACCAATGAAACAAATAAGATGTGCTGCAACGTTCGAGCTTTTGCATTCGTACTTTGCAAATTAATGGCGTCGTCAATTTCTCAGATGTAGACTCAGATTGAATACGAAATACTGTTAGAATAAAGATGCTTCTAAAATTCTTCTAGCAATGACACTCTTTGTTCTCGCGTATATTGTAATAAAACAGTGTTGAGACTGTACATCGAATACAACAGCAAGTATAATTTATCTAGGTGTTTCTCCATGCTAGCGGTCAATAATCGATCAAACGTATTGTCTAAGAAACGCGCGTTTTCAAGCTCGGAAGCCCGTGACATTCGCTGAAGTGCATCATCGGCTTACACAACATGAACACTCCTGACGAAGAATTTATTGTTAATGATATCATTAACAATTTGAAAAAATCAGATGAAGAAAAGCATGCAACAAATACGAACTACATTTCAAGAACTCATCATGTCACGCGGGATTTCATCAATTTCATGGTAAACAATTGATACAGCCCATCGAGATATCAGCTTTTTTTGCATAGCTTCCAATGAAGTTGTTTCACAAAGATTTTATATATGCTATATAAGTCAGTCAAAACAGACATTAATCTTTGAACAATGGACGAATCGTAGGTATTCCTAATATCGTTGAGCCCGAGATATGAAGGCCATAACCCCCAAGTCCAACTCACCGGAATCGAGATAGTCAACGTCGTAACGACAATATTGCAAGAAAGGAATCCAGACACGCTGGGTTTCGTCATACTGTGGAATCAATATTACGTCACCAAATACCTTCGCGACAAAGGTTGTTATTCGTGGTTTGCCGTTTAATTAGTCGTTTTTTTCCTAATCAGAACTCTCCGCGAGAACTGGAAAAGGCTGACTTTATTGGACTTTCAGAAATCCTTATCGAGCAACGCGAAACGAAAAGAGCGGATAGAGTCAAGTCTCTTAGCAGGAAAATTTATCAATCTAATCATGCTGCGACTGTTTATTGGAATATAGTCAGGACTATCATAATTAACGGCGAATTGGAGGATCTTGAGAATCCGGAAATTGATAGGTATATTAATGTAGTCGTTTGCTGAGTCGATCGATTATCGAAACTGAAAAACGTAGAATAGCTGGTAAATGAGTATAGTTGCACAAAGATTTTCCTCTGCTACCAGGATAACTTATCTAGGCTATAGCTTTTGTAGCTACATAAAAGGAAAGGGTATAAAGGCTCTTCTTTTGTGCTGACGAGCTATCGCGAGGAGAAGTAACGGGCCACGATGGACTTCGGTGTGACGACGCTGCACTTCAATCGGCATTTTCTTTCTTTCTTTCCTTTTCTCTTGCAGCATAGTTTCTTATATACTGCACGACTATCTATCGGTTTGGGACTACATAAATTTATCGGAACCAGATAAGATCAAACGATTGGAGGACCTCTTAGTTATCATCCCGCTCATATATATGCATGAGCACCTTGATGTCAAACGGATAAGTTCTTCAATAGCTGTAAGTTATTCCAAATGAGTTTCAGATGTCAAAAATCTAATTGCTAGTACGTAGCAATTAATTTTTTAGCCTGATAGGATCATTTCTAAAAAATTATTGTTCTTCGCTAAAATGATTATCATACGAACTAGCTGATAATAAAAACTCTCAACTCAAATAGGAAATGCCCGCTCTGCAAGCTCGAGTAGAAGAGTTTGTGAGTTGACTCTGTATCGACGAAAATGTTGAACATTTTACAGGAGACTGCGACAGAGATGATCGATAAAATTATCAGTTGTCTGCAGTTGACGATGAAAAGAGTATACAAACTCACATCGTCACTGGACGCAGTGATGAAGGGACGATCAAAATCCAGCGATTCCGAACGCTGGATTATCGAGATGCTCGTCGCCACCCGTCAGCTCGAAATTTACTTAAGGTTCGCGCTTTTGTTTCGTTTTCAACATACCATTCGAGTACTTCTATTGTAGCTCACCTCCCGAAATAGAATCCTTTGATACCACTGCTTTGTCGTCGCCTGAGCGCATGATTTTTTTTTGTTTCCTTCTACAGAATGTTATTGCCGGATGTGAAAAACATCAGGAAAGAGGTGAATTTGTCGAGCAGTTACCTAAAACAGACTCTGAAGTCACTGTCGCAGCTGTGGACGCTCCTAATTGATACTAAGATTACACATATAGATTTGGTAAAGTCATTTTGGATAGCCTGTCCAACAGATTACTTGGCGTTCGAATCATTAAAATTGAGTTTGTTCTCGTAGAAAATGCTCACCAAAATTAACGAGATATGGCGAAAGTTCCGGTACAAAAGTTACGAGTTAAATTGCATAAATGACGTCGTTTGTGAAATAGTCAGCTTATTTCCTAAAGTAAGTGCATACGCTGAAGCATACTAAAAGATTTATCCGAATAACGCCTGACTTTGTTATATTGAAGTTAAATGCAGCTCAAGAATTTCAATTGCAACAAATGTTAGGCGGAGCCAAAATACTTGAAGACCGAAAAAGATTGTTACGAACTATGAGCACATCGATAGGTTCGTATACGGATTATGTTTATCAGTAAACAAACTAGGATTATACGATAAGTGTGTAATTTTATAGTGAAATGCGGAAGCTGCTCTGTAGCTTATTCAAATAGCGACGAAGATTACGAGAAACTGAAACTGCAAGTAAATGAAGCTTCACATAGACGACAAATACAACGAAAAGTGCCCTATCTTTTAATCTATTGGGGTTTTGCAGTTTCTCGGTTTTTGCGCGTGGAGTTTTGCTTACGGCAATGGCGCCCTGATCCCTGGCAACCCATGTATTGGCGTATTAGAATGGAAAGGCAGGTGTTATGCTTTTAGCTCTGTTTGCGCTGCTCGACAATTTGGAAATGATCCAGACAAGTTCGTTGTACTTCTCTCGAACTCTTCATAAAATTCACAAGCGCTTCTGCGCTTCGATAAACGCGAAAGTGCTTTTCGTCGAAGCACCAACGAAATTAACAATGAGTATTATCTGATTTTAGGTGGGTGGGTGTGGCTTTGAATATTATCGGAAAGCGACCGGAGTACATTGATTTATTCAAGCTTCACGATTTCGTTCCAATTATCAGCCGACATGGAAGGTAATAAATGCTTTATGTTTGAAATCAACTACAATTCGCAGCGTGATCAATATAAAATATATCGCTGTAAAATTGACGTTGATTTTCTGATTTAGATTGTGTGGAGCATGCGAACCATTAAAGACTCGACGAAATCGAATAATTCAAACGGAGACGCATATGCCACAAAGCAAGATCGATGAAATTGGTTCAAGCATTTGGTCTTACCGGTACGAAGCTTTGCATATGGTAAGCTTTATATTTTACATTTTCTAGAAGAGAATCGGACTATTTAGAATGTTATAAAAACAAATTGTGTCGACAGGCAAACCTTTGCCAATGTAAATCAAGCAGTAGCCAAACTTCCCAATCACATTTCCGTAATAATATCTGGGTTTACACGTCAATACCAACAGAAAAGCAAGTACAAACGAATGAAAACAAGACTACGGATCCACTTGAACCTATATAATGTTATAAAATAAATGGTTGATTTACATAAATGATTAGGTAAATCATTGAACAGCAACCGTGACAAAATTGTTGATTGTATCTATATCTATAAATATGTATAGCGGCCTCTTAAAAGTAAAAATAAATACAACGAATCTATAAACCGAAGAAGGCTGTTTAAGAAAAAAGTTCGAAGCATTATTTACGTACTTGAAGTCAAAACCTTTCATGGATAATATTGAACATTATTTATCAATATATTTACGTATGGAAGTGAATCATTACACAGATCCACAAAATAAGAAGTTGTGATTGTTATTAGCCAACTAAAGATCATTTCTGAAGTAATTTTGTGTGTAGAATTCTAATCTAAAATCAGAATTTGTCCATATGTCAGGTTTTTTAGATATCCTAAATCAAAAAAACAAAAAAGGTGATTTTATTTGATATATTTGAGGTTCTGTAACATCGTGGAAAAAAATTTTTTCTATAAAAGCAGAAAATGACTGGAAAGGTCAACTCTTACCCTTCAAAAATCATTTTTCTGATTTGAGTTAACTTTTTTCCATCGAGATATCGTTGATTGAAGTCAAGTATTTTAGCAGTTTCGAATCAGCTAATTTTCCGAATACGCACATATAGCATATGCAAAATTGTTGACTTTAATTAACGATATCCCGATGGAAAAAAGTTATCTCAAATCTGAAAAATGGTTTTTGAAAAGTAAGAGTTGACCTTTCCGGTAACATTCTACGTTTATAGGAAAAAGTTTTTTTTCACGATGTTAAAAAACCTCAAATATACCAAAAAATCATCTTTTTCGCCTTTTTAAATTAGAATATCTAAAAAACCTGACTTCGGATTCGAATTCTACTTCGAAAATGACCCTTAGTTGATCAACAAAACCATGCAGATCTGTGTTACTCTTGTACAAAATGAAAACATTATTTATGACTCCCATTTATTGTTGAAAAGCTATTTATTAGAATTGTAAAAGAAAACCAACTGCAAAATTAAAATAGTGTATTTAGCTTGTATAAGATGCTGACTCGTTTTATCCAGACTAGACCGCTAAGTAAATTCCTTCACGGCTTACCAAAAATCAGCTCTGTGATATTTTGTTCATATTACTTAATATTAATTTTATTCACATTAATCAGTTTAATTACAGATAATTTTTCTTTTCGGAGTCAAATGTATAATCAAGAAACTGCAATAATACTAAAATTACCATACCTGTTAAACGGACAGTTTAAATAAAGCGGCAACGGCAGTATATCATTATGCAGCTGGCGATGATAGCTGTTTTTTATTTTTCCTGAACAAATATTATACATTGCATCCTCGATATGCATCTAAAATAGTTGAAAAATACACGCGGAAATGGTATCTCAAAATTTGTACAAATTTTTATGAAAATAGGAATATCAAATTTTAGAAATTCCATTACTTTTAAATATGAATGGCATTTCGATTATCCCGTAAATTATGTAACCATTAAATTTATAAAAGTTGTAATAAAAAACTAATAACTTGTAGTTATTGTTGTGCAAGATTTTCCAAGTGGTTTAATGATTCATAAGTAAGCATGATTTTAATTTTCTGAGTATTTAAAATGTATTCATTCCTATCGAGTTTGTAACAGTTACGGATAAAGAAAATGTGTTCATATTTTGAATTTTCAGAAAGGAATAGCGTTCTTTTAGATACTGCACCATAAGTTACTGCTTTGGTAAAAGTTTATTCTTAATCTATAAACATTCACATCTACTTCAAATGTTTAATTGAATTAATGTTTTAAGAGATTGACGATCAATTACTGCTCTCTGCGTTGTAAATTTGCAAGATATGCATAAGTTCTTCGTTAGCACAATCTATAATACTTTAATATTTTGAAAATATTTCATTTGAAATTATGGTACTCATTTGAACTAGTGGTTGCGGAAATAAAAATTGATCACCTGATTTCTGTGAGCAGATTTAACTCAGCGATTGCATGCGTAATACTCATCCACAAAACAATGAAGAAAAAGATACCAACTATTATAAAGTCGCGCTATGTAAATATTGTCCGAAAAATATAAATCATTTTTCTTAAACACTTCATTCAGTTGTAACAAAATTTGACGATAACATCATCGAACAAAATAGCTTTAATCCTTTTCTTTAATTTTTTGACTTATAAGTAGATATTAAGCTGATATTAAAATATCGTCATTATTTGTTTCTTGAAAATGTGGTTGAAACATTTACTTGAAGCTTTTAACTTGAATACGTACCCTTATAAATTCAATAACCTATTAATATTAATTATATAAACTAGAATAGACCGAGTGATTTGAAGACAATTTTGTGAAATTGTGAGAAAATTGATGGTTGCCGTTCGTTAAACTATTTAAAAAATGTAGAACCAACGGGTTCTAAATGAAACCATCATTTTTCATGAAAATAAAATTTGACTTATTACTGACAAGCTACGCAGACATTAAGGTCTATTTTAAGAATTTATTTATACTATGTTATCATGGAAAATGTGGCTATTACAACAATTAATTTGAATATTACATTGATATTGTAAAATGGAGTAGTTAAAACCACATTGACTAGTCCGTCGTCTTTAATTACACAGTTGTTTGAAACTAATAGTTTTCTTAAAATCCTTAGATTACTGAATTTCATAGTTCTATAACTTTATACTTAGAGAATAATTCATAATTAATAGTAAAATAGAAAGTATGCGGCTAACGTATTAAAAGGATAGGTGGCAAAACGAAAATAATAAAAATTTTTTTGTATAAAAATTTAAGCATTATTTTTAATTTGATATTGTTCATATACGCCAATTACTCCATAGTTTAACATTTTTAAATATCTATATCATTTCACGCTCTATGCTAATTATATTTAATTTCATATTTTCCATGTATTCTTTTAAAATTAGTATTTGAATTCGAAGTTTGTTTAAAAAATATCAAAATATTACTGGCATATGAAATTACATCGATATCAGTTGAATACACGAATGTTTTGATATATCTATTAAATTCATGCTGTGAAGATCTACGCTATAATATTTATCAACTACATAGAATTGAATTTATTAATTCACAGTTTTTCTGCTTAGTGTAGTATAGTATATATGCTAAGAACAAAAAAACTAATAGACAGATTTATGCAACGAGCACAACTAATTTAATTTTTACTATAAAATAAAAAATAACTTCAGACAAATTTGAATATTTATATTGATTTTATTTTCAAGTAATATAATTTTATCATTGCGTGATATGAACATGTAAAGAATTTCATAAAAAGTTAAATTAATACCTGATTATAAAACTGAAATAATCATTTGAATGAATTTTGTGTATCTAAATATACTCTTACAATTCACGATTGAAAAATAACATACGTAAGCAGTCTAATAAAAAAGGATTCATACATCACAAACAGAATCTTACAAAAATTATTATGAAATAATGAACGTTTTCATACCAAAGTACTGTCTTCATAGTTGGTATAATATTACGAGCTTACAAAATAAGAATGCAAAAAGGTACAATTTAATCTTACCAAAAGTTACATTAAAGGAATACGAATTCAGTAAATCTGTCAAAACTACTTAAGTTTTATAGATGACTCAGTGTTTAAAACGTATAAAATAAAAAAAGAATATACAACAAAATATATACGAAATCAAACCTATCAACTGAGCAATTAATACTCAATGTACCTGTCGTTTGCTTTAAAATAAAACGACGTAAAACATAAAACGGAGCAGTTATAACAGATTTACATGTTAATGAAATAGGGTTAGTCTTGTACGATAAAAAAGATTTTTTGATATACAAATGTCACGTGTTTTGCGCACAATACATAAAAATAAATTTTGTGTATACAATGCGATGTGTTTGTGTGTACATAAATTCTTATGTACGATGTGTATGAATGTGTATTTCGTTATTTAGCCCGCGGCGATGGATTGGCGCTGTTGGTTCCATACATATACTTATATATCACGTTTGTATAGTCATTGACGTAAAGGAACGATTTAGTTTAAAAAGTGATTCTTCAGGTATTTCATCATTCCAAAAGTCCTGAAGCGCTTGACGCCAATTACCTTTAAAAGATCATCATCACAGATAGCATATTGTTTGTTCTTAGGATCCTGCAATAAAATGTTTACATTGGAATCGGTCAAAAGACAAAATTGCAGATAATTACGCAAAAATTACGAAAGATTGACGTTGTTAAAAAGATACTTATTAATACATTGTTAGTAAAGAAACGGTTATGAAGTATCAACTCACATAAAGGTTCCTCTCCTTAATGATACTCCATACTTTCTTGACAACTTCATATCGGGCCATCTGTTTAGCACCAACGACGGCAGCGAGCTCGGGGGTCAAAGTAATTTCACGAGTATATCCACTACCCTTGCCGCCACCTCCCTTCTTAGCACCTCCGGCTTTCTTGGCAGGTCTGGCTTGCGCTGAAAAAATATTTAATATAATTAGTATATTGTTTTTAGCGTTGTAAAAACATATCTAAATACATCTACAAAGAATCAATTCTATTAATGTTTGTGAGACAACGGAAATGAAATAGTAGTGTTAAAAGACATCGTTTTAGTAATAAGTAATATTGATAAATAGGGTTTATAACATTAAAGAAAATATTTCACATTGCCCTGCTCCAGTTTTAGGCAGACCTTATTTGATTTTTTCAAATAATGATCGACTAGATTTATCAAAAAAGGAAACAAACGATTGGTTTTTAATTGAAAATTGAATAAAATAAAGAAAAGTTTGAGCAGAAGAAAAGCAACTACATAGATAGATTTTGGGTTGGCGTGCAGCTTTGACTCTTACCCCAGTCGGAGTCTCCTGAGTCACTGTCGCCACCTTTTCCTTTTTTCCCCTTCTTTCCAGCTTTTCCTGATTAGGTAAATTGTCACAATTGAGTATGTAAAACGTACTAAATAATCAACTAATTCATGTCAAATTCTGCCAGTTTAACTGTGTAATAAAGAAGTACCTTTTTTTCCAGGCTTGGCCTTTTTGGGACTGTACTCCTCGTCGCTAGCGTCTTCGTCACTGGCGCTCTCATCGTCGTCGGAAGAGCCCTTCTTACGTTTGTTAGCTGTCTTCTTGGGAGGTCCACGCTTTGACGGTTTCTTTTCCTCCTCTTCCTCCTCATCGGAAGCCTCTTCTTCCTCTTCCTCTTCGCCATCTTCAGATTCACTGGCCACCTTTTTCTTTGGTGCTTTCTTGGCAGCGCCGTCCTGCTTTTCAGCAAGACATTCCATTACAAGGTCGTCCATTTCCTTCTTCCTAAAATTTTAAAATTTTTTCATGGTTACCGTTTAAAATGAATCGATTGACGGGAAAAGTGAGGAGTCTGAAAAAGAAAAATTGTTGAAGGGGGAACGAGGTGCGAATCAAGTGTTTAAGATTGCACGCAGAGACCCTTCATTTCTTGTTGGATACAAGACAACTCGCTCGTGCACCTTGTCTAGTTTATATGCATGAGCGCCTGCTTTGTATCCGTAATGTAAGCGATACGCGAGAGTTGTTTATCTTTTTTTAATTATATCGAACAAAAAATCTGATTCCCATTTATGTGATAGGTAAATTATCGTAAAAACAAAACTTACCTTTCGGTCAGATCAACGTCTAATTTTTCCTCAATCAGCTGCCTGACTTTCTTGGCTGATATTGCATTCAAGTCGGCATCTTTCAAGATAGCTGCAACAGAAATAAATAATCAACACAGTTGTATTGCAAAACATCTGATGACGAAAAACGTATAAATAATTATGCTATATATGCTGCAAGCAGCTGTTTGTAGAAATAATTTGAACGTACTGAAAAAAAACATACTTTTGAAGGGAGAAACGAAGTGTAGAAATGTTTTTTCTGTTTGTTTGAAAAAAATACTTTGACAAAAAAAAATAAATAAAACGAAACAAAACGTTTAGGAAAAAGTCACGCGCAGTCGGTAACGCACGAATGAGGTTCTCAAAGAGCCGGCAAGAAAAGTCGAAAGGAAAAAATCGATGAGGCCAAAACGCGCGTACACGTTCAGGTGCAAATGTGCGCCATCCTGTACATTTACAAAGGGCGCGCAGATGGTACTGCGTAGAGAGTCGAAACTTTATAGAGTCTCGCTCCCTCGAATGAAATCGAAAAGAGCTATAGTCGCGCCTATACATGCTAACCACTTATCCCTTGTGCCCCTTTGCCGGGTTACGAGCGCTCACCGCGCTTTACCAAGCGCGCACAAACCTTACTGCGTTTATTCACCTTTCAATCGTTTTATGTTAATTACTATTATTGAGAGTAACAATAAACAGACAGTTAAATAAAAATTAATATGAAAGCGTGTCGGCGTCGAGGCCGTACCACTTTGTAGATTAATCGTTCTTTCCCCCCTTGTTGCACTGTGAACCACCCATCGCTGAGCTTCACCGTCGGACCGTACTTTCTCAGCATTTAAATTTTACCCTGCATATATTGCTTGAATTGCGCACTCTGTCACAAATACCACTTCCCGTGTCTGAAATTATGCATAATTGAAAATTTTGCAGAACTGCTAAAACTCTAGGTTAGATAAATGTTTGCAGATGAAAATCTGCATGCAGAATTGTTGAGTCGGTTATTTTCATTTGGCAGATCCTTGAATAAACGAATTGCCGTTGTCAAATAGTCGAGGCCTCATAGGCGTACTTCAATTGCAAGTTGCGTTGAGACGTACAAACTCAACTCAGCATTACACACGTATTGGAGCATCGCTCCGAAAACTCAAATTTTGTTTGTATACAGTTATGAACGAATGAGGCACGTTGGATCGCAACTGTTTGAAGGGTACGTATATTTGACATAAATTCCATGAGGTTCATTGACATTTTACACAAACATTCAGTTATCTTTATTTATTCTCCGAAAGCTTAACTTAGTTGCTCCAACTTTTAACGTCTAAAAGTCAAAAAATGGCAGTCTGAAGTAAGTACTTGTTCAAAAATCAAGTTTTCCTGTGTAAAAAAAAAAAATTTCCTTTCTAATTCGATTCATGAATTGTCTATACATATAGACTGAAAATTATCATTTAATAAAAAAATGTATTTATAAAAATAAAAAAAAATCATCAAATTAAGATACAAATACAAACAATATGTATGAAAACTATGAATAATAATGAAATGTACAGTGGAATATTGTAGCAATAATGTTCTTGCGTTAGAAATCTTTATAAAGCGACGTAGTTTATAAATTATAAAAAGATGTAGCATCACTGTTGATAAATTCGATAATTGGCTTGGAAACCTGGAACGAGACAAAGAAGTGCAAAACGCCGAAAAAAGCCAAAGGCGAAAAAAAGCGAACACACAAAGATTGGCGGGCAGCGCGCGTCATAGCAAAGCACGCGCGTGTAGAGAACGAAAACGAGAAGCGGCGCGCGCTGCACGAGAGGCCGAATGTGTATACCGAAGAAAGCGCCGCCGCCGTCGAGCGATAAGCTTCGCCTCCATTATTCTCTGAGCTCGTTGCTGGCTCTCCTCGTACCGGAATAAACAGATTGAAACTCGTGGAAAAATCCGAAAAATTACGAGGAATCTTTTGCATTGCGTAATTTTCTTAAATTCCAAGCGAAAGACTTGAAAAAATGAATGTGAAAGCAATGGCTGATGGCGTGCCCCACGCTACGGAAGTGCGCGCCGCGACAATAGTAAAACTCAACTTTTATTCCAATAACTGATGTGAAATTTAGTCGTGATTCACTAGTTGATTGAACAACCAAGTAAGATGAGCGATTAAAGTGAGGAGCGATGGCGTATATACAGAAATAAAGTGTACTAACCGATGATCTCCTTGCGGAGCTCGTCCTTGCTGATATCGGCCATGTCTGATCGGTGTATATAGATATACTACGCGCGCTTGGCAACGAGTAAATATGTGGTAGTAGTTGGTTAGTGGGGCTGGCGAAAGAGCGAGAGTGGAGAGAGAGTGCTATACCACTTGCGCTGCTTGTCGTTCTACGTCTCGCTGCCAACTGACTGAGCCTGCCGCTGCTGCCGGCACCTCCACTCGGTCTCGGTTCGCTCTCTTGTTGCTCCCTTCCCTGTACGCCTGTTTAGGCTAGCCTCACACAATGGGACACTTTCGCTTCTGCCGGGATTCCTCCAGGTACGAGGACCCTGCTTGCCAACCGAGATTTTCGGCTTGAGATGTTCTCTACCTTTTGTCTCCATCCTTTGATTTTCAAATGTTTTTACAACAATAATAACATTTTCCTTCGCAAAATCTTACTTATATTTGAGCAAAATTCAAATATTTCTTCAATGTTTCATACTAATTTATTAAAAATTTTAAATTGGCTGAAATAACTAAGAGAATAATGTTGCAGTATAAAGGATACGTGAAATTGAAAAGTAATTTAACTAATTTTTACAAATTAAAAATTAACAAATCATCAATAATAAAATTAATCAATATAATAATTGATTCTCATTTTTATATAAAATCGCTTCATTACAGTCAAATGAGCAGTAATTTGACATAGTTTTTTCATTATATCTAAAATTCTTGTGATTTATTGCAAAGCGAAATATTTGAAAGGAAAAATTGTTATAATATCTTTTTTAAGAACAAAAAGCAAATTCATTGTTTCAACTTTATTTTTAACAAGCTTTAATCCTTGCCACATTATAAAAGCGTAATAAATTTTACAACTATATAATATTTTATACATCTTTAACGAAGGCAATATTCACTGCTCCCAAATTGAAATACAATTTTTTAAAATGGTCAAAATTTCATTTATTGACACAATAAAGTTCAATTTATCATTTAAAAAAATACTGCAATCAGTTCGCACAGAATTTATTATGAACTGCTCACCATTGTGCATGTCCCTTTATCTATTGAAAAGATATTTACGAAATATTGGAAAGATATTGTTTAAGATGAAAACATCACATAATTATATCTTATCGAAATTGTAAGTTTTTTTTTCGAATTTTTGACAATATGTATTTTAAAAGCGATAATTAAAGATGATTATTATGGAAGTGAAAAGGGATATAAAAGTTTGAAGAATCACAAACAGTTTGAAGTGGAAAAGGATACTTATAATAATTGTTAACATTGTATGAATTTTATGAAATAATTTTTATGCAAATCGCTTGTCGTTACTCTATCACAACCAGTAACTAAAGTTTTCTAAATTGATACATTACATTTTGAAGATATACTTTACAGTAAATAATGTGTATTTCATTTATTTATCTAGACTTCTATTGCATTGAAATACTAAAGCTTTCGAAAATATATTTCTATATGCTAAGCAAAATTTTATAACATTTGTAACATCATTTTTATCGATAAATCTTTGAAATCGATATAAATTAATAATAAACATGAATACTGTATTAACATCCAATCATCTGTCAGTTAATATGTATAAAAAAATTATCGTTATTGAATATTGAGTTACGTTTTTGTTATGATATAATATAAAATACGAAATAAGGAGGTGACATTACTTTTATTATCAGGAAACACGTTAATGAAAAGCAATTTTACGTATTTGATTGTGTACACTATGAGCATTCCCGTAAAATAGGCAATTTTTATTCACTACGTAGAAATATATTTTACCCAACTGAAATTTAGCATAAAAAATTATTGTTGTCACTTTTTTAAAAAAAATTCATGATAATTAATCCAAAATATTTAGCATTATATAAATACATTAAAACGATGGGCAACCAAATTTTGTTGCGCATTTTAAAGAAATACATTATTATAACTATTTTAAAATGAACAGTTTGCAGCATTTATTTTATTGTTATATGTTTTGTATGTTCATAAGATTTGTAAGTTTAAATTCAAATTATAGATATAATCAAATAGATTACTGTAACATAAATGATGTATGTATATTTCAGTTAATTACTAAAAAGTATAACGATTCGGCTTCTTTGATTGTAATAAGATTCAGCCAATCATACCATAGTTATGAAATGTTATGTTGTAAGTTGTATGATTCGTTTACCGCCTGAATAATTTACGCATAATATGTTGAGCATAACAAAATATTATGACGTTGCAAACTTATTACAAATTCAATCGTTGCACGTATGTTTAAATTTAAGTTTCACATATTATATTTTACTTATGTGAAAAGAAATCATAAAAACAATGATTAAATAAAAAAATAACATTATAAGAAGATTTAGTGAATAGAAACCATAGATTTCAAAAAAACGTTTGAAATAACAAATGCAGGATAGCAAACCACATGCGTTCACGGAGCCGCAAAATACATGTACTTGTCGATATAAGCGAATATTCAACGTTGTGAACGATAGCTGTAGCCTCAAGAACGGCTTGCCGCGCTCTCCGTAGCGTCCGTTGTCGGTACAGTACTCGTTAAAATTCGTACAAATGTTAGGTTATGTGCAGAGATGCGAAAAATCATAACTCTTTAACAAAATTTCTGATCGACAAACTAAGCACGGAAAGTCCTCCTACAATTTTTCGCTCTACAATTTTCTAATGACGCGCCAGGCTCGAAATGGCCTCCGTTTCGCTGGATTTTTCAATCTCAATTGACCGCTTGCAAATACTTTGAGTGCTGAGTGTACTGCGAGCTACATATACATGGAGAAACCTGCTGCCTGTGTGAGCGCGCTTACGGCCGAGAAGCACTGGGCGTCGATCGTTGCCGGCTGCTCGCTAGAAAAATCAACTTCCAAGTGGAATATTTTCGCGACCAGATGCTAAATCGAAAATCCGTGCACACAAAGTCCGTCCAACTTTTTCTCATCTACATTTTTCTTATAATGCCCCACGCGTCATTTTGCCGGGAAAGGCTTCTGTCAAGCCGAAATTGACGCCGTCTCACGAACGATACTCCACACTCTGTCTACACTCTATCTCCCTTGTGCTCCATAATACTACGCGCAGTAGGACAGAGACCAAATGAATAATTTCTCTTCTGCATACAAGCGAATGATATATAAATATGAGTGCTCTTGAGATCAGTTTTGTACAAAAAATATTGTTGCAAATAAAATGCAGTTATAAACAATTATTTATCGAGAATATTTTCCGAAGGTTTATCTTGGTACTGAAAGATGAGTTCTTTCTTCTCTCGGCGAAAGTAAGCGCTGAGAGATGATGATAGTAGTAGCGGCCGAATGCTCTTTTACATGCTTTCCTACTCGGCAGCAATGACAATTTGCTTTTATTTGCTGATAACCTTGGTTTTTTTTCAGTCAACCTGCAACGATTAAAAATATATGACCATTTTCTACTCTAGAATGAATTTGCCACAGTATCCGTAGCTATTTAATTAATTACAAGCGTGCAAAATATAATCGATCATAAGCACGTAATTAATTTTGGGAACAATGAGGAATGAAACATTGGAATAATTGTAGCGGTAAAGAGGAGATACTTAAAAGAAAATAAGGCCAAAATATCGCATCAATCGATTCCGTATTTACAGAGTAATCGTGGCTCAAGAGCTGCTTGTACATAGTTTTCGTATCGGCCGAAATGGGTAAGTAGTAGGGAGATCCACACAAGCAGGCATGTAGCCCGATCAGATGGTTATTCTCTTCGTCAGCCCGTCAGCCTTACCGCGCTGCCTGTAAGTACAGTCAGCTCGAGCAATAAGCCGCCGACTCTGAGCTCTATGAGTGCTTCAAAAATTCGATATCTCAACAATTAGGCGTCCAATCGAAAAACTACGTGCACAAAGTCGTAGCAATTTTTTAAGATCTACAAATTTTTTTAGACGCCCCATGCTCAATTCTGCATTCTTAGGCCTCTATTCCGAAAGGCCTGCCTTCTCATCGGAAATATTTGCAGTCAAGACTGTACTGCGCGCATCTGTATTGTGCGTATATGCGTGAAACTCAAGAGCCGATTGCTCGATAAAGTTTTATGTGAGTTTATCAAACAAAGTCAGTTAATCGATTCGTCAAATTTTTTCCTACCCATTAGGCGGCTCATTTTCTCTAGTTCCAGCATATTTACAGCGATTTTCGGCTAAATCAACGCGTTGCTGATGCAGTTGTGGCGCCGCGCTCGTTTGAACTACGCGATATACTGCTGATAACGTAGCTGAACGTGTTTGCAATGCCGGCCTGCAAGTATCATTGATTTTTAGTTTTTAGGCAGTTATACCGCAAAGAAATGCCATATTTTCTAAGGCTAGCCTCTGTGAGCAATAAAAAATTGATTCATTAAGTTGCCTTCGCTTATTATATTAATCATCAATTTATGAGTTCCCTCGCTTGGTCAAGCGAGTTTCCCACTTCCGGTAGAGTAGTACGCGACGTTGTGTAAATTTAATGCAAATAAAATAATTGAATGCTACTTCGTGCTGCATAAATAATTTAACAATTTTCTATACAATTTTTTTCAAGAGGATAGTACAAAGGTTGACACGTCTTTGTTGAGAGAAAAAAGAAAATTAGTCGCCCACCTGACTCGGGTGTAATCATATAAGCTTTTGAATTAGAATTCGCTATGAATTCGCACAGAAACTATAAAGATAGTCCTTCTATGAAGATAACTCCTCAGATCTGTAAGGGAAATTACTTTAGGTATCGTAGTAATAACAGGAACTAATCATTTTAATCTGTATAATCAGCGGCAATTTCATATTTTCGACATATTTGTCAACTGAAGATACACGAAAGATGAAATTTTTCTCAAACCTACGAAATAACTATTTTCTCAATCAATTGATGATAGATTACAATGATAATTGCCTTAAAATCAACTTTTATCGTATATCTTGCGAGCCCTGAATTCCTACTTCTAATAACTTTTAGAGATTTAAAATGAACATAATAAGTAATATTATTACATACTTGAGTGGAAGCAAAAGCAGTCGATAAATTAGCGCACTGCAGTGTATTTCAGTTATCGATTGTCCAGCTAAGATTATAAATTTATTTAAAATCTTTTAAACTTATCAAAAATATAAATTAAGAGGACGACAAGCACAATTATAATCTTTATTCTAAAACTTGGTTTATTTTGATTGACCAAC